GCCAATTTAGCTTTTAAAAATTTACCTTTGAAGATGAAGACTTCAGGGTGGTTGTAATCTGGCCCTTCTCCCAGTGAGAGGTACATTTTTAGATGATTAGAGAACTTCAGGTGGAAATGTTACTCTGCTTCTGGCTTTTTGCCTTAAAATATGACCTAAGGCAAGCCATCATTTCCCAGAAATGAAATATGTCATATGTTACTATTAAAGTGAACCAGAAAAGGAGCATTCTATTACAATAATGGATTTTGTTTAAAAAAATTTAAATGTCAAATCCCCAAAGGAATAATACATATTTGATACTATTATTGAAACAGCAATACTAGTAATTGTATGAGGTACTTATATTTAGTATTGGTCATATAGTAAAAAGATTGCATAAATCTTTCAGTAAAATTATGGTGTTAGAGAAAATAAATAGCATCACTTATTCATGCAATCGATTGACATTTATTGTTGGTGCCTATGTGTCAGTCATAAGTCTAAATGCTGGAGATGCAAAAAAAAAAAAAAAATGACTAGAATATCTTCCTGCCTTCAGGAAGTTCACATTTCAGTTGAAGAGTCAGAGCAAGTAAAGGCAAAATAATATAGCAACAAATATGACAGAGGTCTAAATAAGGCTGGGGGATATACTACAGGAAACTATTGGCCCAATGGAAGGAGTTTTTGCTATTCTTAGTGACCAGTTCAGCTGAGTTAACCTTGGAAATATTAGGATGAAGCACATATATTTTTTTTAAAGTCTTTTTTTTCATTTTTATCGGTACCAAGGATCGAACTCACGACTGCCTGCTTGCAAGGCAGGTGCTTATGCCGCTCAGCTAAATCCCCAGCCCCGGATGAAGCACATATTAAGCAGAGAAAACTACAGCAGCAAAAATTAAACCAATAAATGCATGGCACATTTGGAAATTGGAGAGTGATTTTGGATATCCACAGAGGAAAGCCGCTGAAACCAATGTCAAATAACGGGCTCTGATCAACTAGCTTGGGTTAAAGAAACATAAGTGACTTTTGAGGAATATAATTTTACAAAATGAACGTATTTTACATATAGTCTGCACAGCTAAGGCAGTGACAGCAAGAGACAAAATGTTGCATGGAATAAAAACTGTCATACTGTGACTCATATGATAACGTATGAAAGTATATCAAGAAATACAAGAAGATTTCTCACTTCACATGTTTATGAGTAGATTGAACCTTATTTGGTAGCATTAAACCCACTTTTCTGCAGAGAAAACATGTCAGAGGGGATTAGGCAAACCTTTGTAATTACTAATATTTGATATTAAAATGTCATCTTTTATCCTGAGATCAGTCTTGTACACAGAAGAACAGATTACAACCAAGGAAATATAGGTAGTATTAACATAGCTAGTCACTGACCTTATCTTCCATATTCCAAAGGCTTTCTAGCTATGTATTTCTCTCACTTTTAGCAGTCAGTGAATACAGCTGTAAAGCAGTGATTTTTATTACTTCCTACAATAACAAGTGTTAGGCTAGGTTATGGGCTACATCCTACCATCCATAGCTCTCATGGTGGAGATGAGCTTTTGACATATTCTTTCTTCTACTGGTTGACTCTTTTGCCTACTGATCTCATCCTGAGTAGACTTTGGCTGTGTCTTCATGGATTTTTCAATTTCCTCAAGAGAGTTCCAAAGTATCAGCATTACTACCAACGTGAACATCATCATTATCATTACATTCATAACATTATCTCCCACTACCACTGTGGTTTATAAAGCACTCGCTTTATGACTGCAGGAAGCTACTATTCTAAGAACTTTTATATATACACTATATTAACTCATTTTATACCAACATTAGAGAGTAGTGCTGCCATAGAACTTTTCATGATGATGGAAATGTTCTATATCTGCATTGTCTACTATGGTAGCTATTAGCCACATGTGGCTATTGATTAGTGATTCTGAGGAACCTACATTTTTCTTGTATTTAACTTTAATTTCATTGAGGTAGCCACGTGGCTAATGACAGCTGTATTGGATAACAAGCTATAGCAGCTGGTGGTTTATGATTATTATTTTTTTAAAATCTGTTTTCATCATTGGTGAAAACTAACAAGGGCTAGTTTGAATAAATAGATCTGAAATATTCTTGACGTTGTAAATATTTTAAAACAGATCTCATCTCCGACTTCTGGAGAACTTTTTTTTTTTTTTTTTTTGGTCTTTTTCCTTTTTATGGGTACCAAGGAACAAACTCACAACTGCCTGCTTGCAAGGCAGGCGCTTATGCTGCTGAGCTAAATCCCCAGCCCTCTTTTGGAGGACTTTTAGTCTACCTTTCTTCCACCCTCTTAGAATTCAATTTAAAAGATGTTTATGGGATATATAGGGTAACATGTACTCTTTTCTAAACCAAAACTTATGAAATGTGTGGATGATGTTTTAAAGGAAATCTCTTCATCATCCAACCATCCCAACTGGTCAAGAGTGATACAGTCCATGTACTGAAAATTAGAATTGCATATAATTACCAGCATCCCAAAGGAAGACATACACTTGCACCTATAAAATTAAACAATGAAAGAGGATTTTATGTGTTGAGCATCTATGATGAAAGTCTTCAGATAAACTCTTAATTTCCTAAATTTAGTCTTTCTCTCAGCAAAACCACCTTCCCAGATTGCTCTGGCTCGTGTGTGAGAATATGGGAATATACTTTGAAGCAAAGAAACTGATTGGAAGACTTAATTACATTTCTGATTAGTCCACCGGTAAGTCAGACTTACTACTGCTGGAGAAAGAGAAGTAAGCTCTTGGTTTGAACCATCTGTCGTGAAAATGTGACATATGCTAGCTTTGTTTACTCAACAACCAAGTGTAAACTGATACACTGAACTAGAATCTGTGTCTTGTGGTGTGTGTATGGGATGTGTGTGTGTGCCTGTGTGGGAAGGAGGGGTGCCTGATGAGGTCATTGGTCCCTTCATTCCTGTCTCTGGGGATCATGCGGGCAGCCAAGGAGGTGCGTGAGTTGTAGGGATGTCCGCGGGGTTTGTAGCTCACAGTGAGGCGCAGATACTCTTTGTAAAGACTCCAAACAATGCGCAGCACACACGCTAGCAGCGGCCACAGCTGACAGGCACGCCTGGGTGATGCGCAGTTGAATGGACAGCTATCCACCCCTCCTCCTCTTCTCCCCGCCCTTACACCCGGGCCTCAAACTTCAACTGAAGCTCACGCCCTTTTCAATTAACCCTCCTCTATCAAAATGAAGGTTACTATTCTGTCCTCAATGGCAGCCCATTGTTTGATGTGATGGGGCTGCAGCTTTGACAGCTGGGCTCATGCAGACTTGATTCAATTCGGTCTCCCTGAGAGATGAACTTGGACATCAGCAAAGATCTTAAATACAAGCCCCTGAGCCTTTGGAAGGCCACCCAGCACTGTCCCCCAAACCGGAACTATGAGTTAGTGCAGACTTGCATGCTCCAGGGATCTCTGATTGTGTTCCATGTGAAGTCCTTGTCCCAGTGGAGTAGCGCATTCAGCAGGAGTGGGAAAAAGCGGTCCCAGGAGTTGGGGTGAAGGGCTGCGTATATGTTTGACTTTTAAATAAAAAATTATTTGTAAAACAGTCAAGATGGAAGTCATCTTATAAATTCCCCAAAGACAAGTCTGACCAGCCTTAAATGTAAAGAGCTGGGGTCTCAGTTTCTGTTTCGCCGTCCAAACTAGAGACAGTAGACACTGTGTTTGCACATGAGTGTGTGTGTGTGTGTGTGTGTGTGTGTGTCTGCTGGCTTAAATGAACCGGGTGGGCACATTCCACGATCACTGCTGGGGGAGGGCATTGAGTCTGAGTGTGTCTTTAGCCTGGTAAGTCTTGAGTCGTATCGTGGGACAAAAACTTTGTGTTCAGAAGGTTCTGGCAGGGGTACACTGACAAAGAGCCTTTGTGCATTGTACTCTGTGCGTGTGTGTATTTGCGTGACAGATAGAGAGAGAGAGAGAGAGAGAGAGAGAGAGAAATTGAGAGGGAGCGAGCGCCCGCTAGGCGCCAGGCGTTGGCTTGTAGCGCTGCCTGTCCTGTGCGCGCCTGCAGGTTCTCCCAGAGTCCCACTGTGGGCAAGCTAAGTGCCTGTGCCCGGCTGTAGGGACGCGCTCCGGTGGCGACTTGCAGTGCGCTACTGGGTGGCGGGAACAAAACCGGACCGAGCGTGCACTAGCCAGGAGAAACTGGCCATGCTATGCTCTTCGCCGCTTCCTATAACCACTAATATTCCCACTGGGCATCCTACCCCTTGTCTCTGCTGGGAAGTTGTCCCGGCCACCTCAGCCCTAGGAGCTCTAAAAGATTACGTTATCTTTTTTTTCCTAGCACAGAGAAAGTGAGCCCAGAATGATGAGGAGTAGGAGGAAGAAGAGGAGAAGAAGGAGGAGGGAGAGGAGAAAAAGGAGGAGCCACCCCCTCAAGAATGAATGAATAAATAAATAAATACATAAATACATAAATAAACAAACAAACTGGCTCTTCGCTACAGCTGGATGCGGTCGGTTGAGTCCAGGTCGGTGGCCTCTGGAGTTCTCTCGTGCAGTTTGAAAACCCATCGCCCTTTTCCCTCTCTCTTGTTCCAAGCACTGTTTTCCATCTTGTAGGCTAACTTTGGGGTACCTTCCGGTAGGGTTGCTTGTGGCGGCCGATTGCACCTGCCAGGGCGCACGGGTGAGAAGCCGTGCACTCTTCTCTGGAGCAGTAGTGTGAACGCGCTGAGTTCTCGGCTCCTAGTCAGTGAGGGGAAGGCGCTGCCGCTGAGGAGGGAGTGGAGGCGCAGCGCACAGGGGCGCAGGAGCCGGGCTCCAGCCACAGCCGGGACGCAGGTCCCTTTCCCCGTCTGCCTCGGAAAGGAGGCGAGCTTCGGGGGTGAGGAGTGAGGGGGGGGGGAGGTGTCGGCGACCGGGTGTAGCGATTGGTGGTTTGGATGCGGAGGGCCGGCGGCAGAGCCAGCGAAAGAGCTGGCGCACTGGCAAGAGGAGGGGGCGGCCAACTTCCCGGGAGAAGGGCGCTTTCCACGCCGGAACTGGCTAGCAAGCCGCCGCCGCAGCAGCCACCACCGCCACCGCCGCCGCCGAGGGCTCCCACTCGGGGCAGCTGCTGCCTTCGTTTGCGGCGCTCGGAAAGTAATATTGATTTATTTATTTGCTTGCCCTCAGCCTCTTGGGTTGCAACGGTTAGACATCCCCTTTGGACTTTGAGAGCCCGCGTCCGACCTCTGCAGCTCGCTGCAGCCCGTTTAGCTACTTCCCCGCCCTCATACGTGCACATGCATTCCCAGCGCCCGGACCCGGGTGGGGGTGGGTCTTCACCCTGGTGTTGTCAAGTCCCCCAAGGCGGGAGCGAGGGAGGGGAGAGGAACGGGGAGGGCGGAGGTTTCAAGGCTCCGGACTCTCATTTTAAAGCGCCTTCTCCCTTCCAGGTTGGGTCGGACCTGAACCCCTAACAGCAAAACCGCCTACCGCCCTCAAGCCCTCCCGGAGTTGAGTCGCCTGTGGCGGCGGCGGCGAACGGGCGGGGGGGTTTCCTCTCGCCCTGGATGGAGCTGAACTTTAGGCTGCCAGACAATCGCGGCCATCTGGGGATCGCTGCATGCTGAGTTCCCTCGGATAGACCCAGCAGCGGCTCCGGATTTTTTGGGGGCGGGGGCGGGGACCAGCCGCGCGCCGGCACCATGCTCTTGGCGACCCTGTACTTCGCGCTGCCACTGCTGGGTAAGTCGAGGCCTCCACAGACTTTCTTACCTACTGAGTCTGTTTCCGTGGGTGCCTTGCGGCACCCCCTCCCCCTTTCAAAAAATTGCGGCGCGGTTGCGGTGGATGTGGGAGGAGGAAGTTTCGTTGGGGGTAAGGAGACCCCAAATCCCTGGGCTTGAGAAGCGGCACTGCCTGGAGCGCTTCAAGATTGGTTTTTATTCGCGTGGCTTTGACCGAGACTCGGGGGGCGCAAAGGAGTGTGAACCCTCCAGCCCCGGGCCTGGCGGCCCTTTCCAGCCCGGAGGAGCTGGAGGAGGCGCGCGGGCAGGTGGAGTTTGGGCGCACACTGGACCGAAAGGCAAACTTCGAGAGGAAAACTTTTCTCCTAATAACGTCTTGGCGCTCCCCGCCGGGCAGGCTGCGGGCCGCCGCCTGCCGCCTTTCGCCCAGCTCCTAGCGCGCCTCCGCGCTTCCTCACCGAGCGCCCTCAGGCTGCAGCCCGGCCCGGCCCGGGCGCGAAGAGCGAGCGGCCGCAGTCCCGGTGCCCGGGGAGGCGGGACAGCCGCTAGGGCCGAGCTGCCCTAGGACGGCAGGGCAGTGGGTGCGGTAGGCGCTGGAGGATGTGGGGCAAACCTTGCCAAAGCCGCGAGTTGTGTCTGCGGCGCCTCCCCTGGTCCTGGCCGGGGCGGAAGGGACCGCAGCTGTGCTTCCCTAGGCGGGAAAACGAACTCCGAGGAGCAGGGAGTGAACCCGCTGCCTCCCCAGAGCGCCCCCGACGCCAGGCGAGCTTCGTCGTCCTGGGCGCGCGCCCAGTCCCGGGGATTGGGGTTTGGGGGTCCCTGTCAGACCGCACTCAGGCTTCTTCCCCTCCATCCCGCAGACTTGCTCCTGTCTGCCGAGGTCAGCGGCGGGGACCGCCTGGACTGCGTGAAAGCCAGCGATCAGTGCCTAAAGGAGCAGAGCTGCAGCACCAAGTACCGCACGCTCAGGCAGTGCGTGGCAGGCAAGGAGACCAACTTCAGCCTGGCATCGGGCCTCGAGGCCAAGGATGAGTGCCGCAGCGCCATGGAGGCCTTGAAACAGAAGTCGCTCTACAACTGCCGCTGCAAACGGGGCATGAAAAAGGAGAAGAACTGCCTGCGCATCTACTGGAGCATGTACCAGAGTCTGCAGGGTATGCACCCGCCGCCTGCCACTCACGGCCCACTCCTCTGGAAGGCAGGGATCCTTTGGTCCTCGGCTGGCTAAGCTCATTCTGCGCTCAGTTCTCCCCAGCTGCGGAATGAGGACCTTTCATTGGCCCCTAGGGACAGCAGCAGCTGGTGTTTGCTAAGGATGAGCAGGATTGTTGCCACTGGTTGTTGGAAAACCCAAGAGCAGGTGGGGGGCAGTCCTGAGATCCCGCTGGCCTTTTTGAAACCTGGTCAAAACGTCCCAGTAGGGACCTAGTAAAAGCCACTGGAGAAACCCCGCAGCTTCTCTAGCTGGCTTCACAGACAAGTGGTACAATGGCTTGCCCAGCATTTTGCGTTTCCCCATTTTTTCCCCTCTACCTATTCTGTAACATGGGAAAAGAACTCAGTGGAATCCACTCTGTCTTTAACCCCTCTCAAACCTGATCAAACCCATTTGTCATCTTAGATTAGCTGAGTTTGGAAACAGCTGCTGTGGTTCAACTTTGGTTACCAGAAGTAGCTCAGGGAGGGAAAGCTCTGTTGTCACAGCCACCCATTCTGATGAGAAATTTTTGGTACTACTGTGCCAAAGGCAGCTTGAGTTTGTAAATCTGACACAAAAATTCTGTGTATTAATAAGTCACTGAGACGCATCCTGAAAAATTTGATCTGTCAGTTACAACTTCGTCCAGAATCTGTATTCATGAAAATCTGTTTCAGAGATGGACTGTGTTAATAGCCAGAATACCTGTTTTCTGGCTGCATGCCATTTTGGGGGAGCATTCAAATATGGTGGCTTCTTCTGGGTCATTTTTCTTCCACTGGCTCCTGAAGGCAAATAAGGCTTGAGGTTTCATTGGCACTTTTGTCTGTGATTTCAATTCTTTGTAGAGTGGGAGAGTTTTCTGGCAAGACATAGACTGCGTTTTTCTCCAGTGTTTTCATGGTACTGTGGGGAGAACAAAGACAACAGAGAGAGAGGAATGAAAAAAAAAATTAACCACAACAAAATACATATATTTGAAGTCTTTGAAAATTTTAGTATCATTTTGTCATACAATCATAACGTAACGTAATCATAACGTAATTAAGGTTAAGCAGCAACACACTGAGTGAAATGCAACTATTTTTCAGATCTGAGCCCAATCTTTCTGTTGCAGGAAATGATCTACTGGAAGATTCTCCATATGAACCAGTTAACAGCAGATTGTCAGATATATTCCGGGTGGTCCCATTTATATCAGGTAAGCAAATTTACATTTTTACTCTGATGCCTTTACCTTTGCCAGCTTAAAATCCATTGGCTTGCTATTCTTTGGCTTTTAAATAGTGTATAAGTAGATAGTTGAATGGTATAGTGTTTCCGGGAAATTAGAAACAAGATGAGGATAATGAAGAGGCATAATGCCTAATTCTGACTGTGTGACTTAAAAGTAATTCTAAATGAAGTAATGGGTATAGTGGTTGGGGAGAGGTTGGAGGGAGGTGACTTGGTTGAATTTCTTTTTCACATTAAAATATGATTGGCTGACTCTTGGCAAAGGGAATGCCATTTCTGTCTGTAGGTGGCAATCGTATTCTCCTGTTGCATTTGTTACACAGTGCCTCCCAGGAATGAGCTCTGATCTAATGATGCCACTTTCTTTAGGGAATAGAAAGTAATCTTAGATTGTTGAAGAATTTTGGTTGGATTCACTTGTCTGCCTTTGATTTAAAAGATTGAGCTCTACCATTTGTTAATTCTTCTTTTAGTTTTTCCTGAGCAAGTATGAACATTTCTGCGAGAATGTACTATCCAGTGGGTCTATAAAATTTGGTTTTGCTTCCCATGGTTTGTTCTGTCTCTCTCTGGAGTTCTCCATTTGGTTTGGTAGTAAGCTTAGTTCTTGAATTTAAGTTTTTCATAACATTTGCACTCAGCCCATGAATAATGAGTGAGGAAATAATTTCTCTTAATGACATACAGAGTCCAGACTGATGTTGTCTTTATTTATTTACAGTCAAGATATTTTCTCAACCATATATCTATACATATATTCCCCACAAATTATATTTCTTGGTGGTTAAACATGGTAGTTAAACATTGGTGGTTAGTGTTGAATTTGATTCTGTTAGTTGATGGCTTGCTACTGATAAAGAGTTTTGGTTTTCTAAATATTTCCCTGCAGAAAAGTCACAGAACCAAGAGAATGCAAAATACTGATATTATGTGTGAGTGTATGATGTATTTATTCACCAAATGTTCACTGAGCACCTACTGCATTCTGGCTGTTGTGATTTTGGCAGTGAGTCAGTTATGATCCCTGTCCTCATGAATGTTAGTCAACAGCTGACATTTATTTAACCCTTACTGTATGCCAGGTATTCTATGAAGCACTTTGCATCATTAGTTTGTGTAATCATCAAGGGCTCTTTAGGTATCATTATTTTCATTTTGGAGGTGAGATTGAGGCAGAGTGAAGATAGAAAACCAGCCTGAGATCACAAAGGTCCTAAAAGATAAACCAGAATTTAAACCCAATGTATTTGATACCGGGCCTTATAAATATCTACTCTTTGCTACTTGGGAGTAGTCTTCAGATCAGTAACACTGACAAGTCCAGGGAGTCATTTAAAAGTGCAAAATTTCAGGCTCCTTTCCTGACTTACAGAACCAGAGTCTGCATTTTTGACAGAATCCCTGGATGAGATCTTTATAGGAACATCAGACTTGAGAAACACACTTCTGCAAGATTTTGGCATTTAATTTAGAGGAAAATTGTGTGTGCATGTGAGCATGTGTTTTAATATAAAATATAAGGCTGTACAGGTAATTCAGCATCAGAAGCATTTATGTTACCTGAATAATGTTGATAATTTCCACTCAAAATTCCCTGCCTAATGATCCTATGGGTCCACTCCTGACAGTGGCTCAAACAGTGGAGGAGAGGTGTACAGACAAGTTCATGTAACCAGCTGTATTTTTTTCTGTAGGAACTAAGTTAGGATTTGGCCAGTTGGGAACCTGAGGTGAACCTCAAGCTGTTAAAAGGATGATGACTCCTGTCTGTTGCCTCCCTCATGGGAATGTCATTGCCCGGTGTTCACTGGTGGCTGGAAGGGTATGAACCTTCCCCTGCACGGTGAAGAGGGAAGAAGCAGGCAAGGCAGAGGGGCCGTTTCAGAGTTACTATGAATTAGGGTCCTTTAAGACTCAGTTTCCCTCTCTGGTTTGCTCATTTCATTGGAGTGAATAATAATCCATGATTCTGAAGGAAGATTGAGGTCATCTCCAGCATCCCTCCCCTGTGCTACTGCATAGCTTTTTGGACTCTTATCTTTATTTCTGCACTCAAAGTGCTATGGTCATTCCTGGGTGCCATTGGCTTCTCTGAATTTATTTTATTATTATTGGAAATGACTTAAGAATCTTTGCATGGAGCAGATTTCACTCATTCATGTGTTGGTCCCTTTTCTTAGATAGGGCTCTTTTCCAGGTAAAATGATCTTGGTTTGTGAGACCTGTCCTGCTGAAAACACAGAAGTCATAATGAATTAAGCAGAGTCAGGAAGCCCTTGTCTAGTGCTTCATTTTATATCTCAAGGGCATTGAGTTTAGGTTCCAGCACTAACGAGCTTTGACCTCTGACAGTGTCTGTGTTCCTTAAGTGGGTATGGTACAGCCAAATGGAACCTCGAGAGGTTTTAAGTCACTGAATAATGCATATTATCCAGTTTGGCCTTTCTAGGATGGAGAAGGACAGAGAAGCAAAGATGATAGATGTTGCTTTTCATAGTATGAATCTGAGTTTCTAGAATATCTCTTTTGTGGTGAATATCTGTCCGAGAAAGCCAGCACAGGAGGGTCTCTGCCTTTTACAGATGTGGTAGCAATCAGTTTCCATATTTGGATTTCTCTGCTCAGTGTGAAGAGTACGTTTATCTATATACGTTAAGTGTGAGCTGACTCCTCCCACTGACATGTTTGACATTCTTATGTTTCCATTTTCTTTGGATTCCTCAAACCCACAGCTGTCTTTGCCATTGTTAATTTACCAGACCAAAGACCATATTGAGGTATTATCTTTGACCTGGTGGGAACAAAAGTAAGAGGGGAATCTAAAAACTGACATCTGTTCTGAAGCCTGAACTGCAGAAGGGAAATGGAGCGGCCTAGTCAGGCTGGAAGTTCAGTGGGAGGTTAGCAGACCTAGTCTTGTGGAAATTTGATAGCAGAAGCCTTTGGCCTGGAAGGCTTGCTAAAGGGCTTGAGGGGGTAGTTTAGCCAGGGTTGGTGCCAGTGTGGTTTTCAGGGGGTCTGGAACATGAAATATACAAAGCGAAAAGTGGTGCAAGGGGATGTTTGGGTAGTGGGAGGAATTCAGTGGAGTCTCCTGGGAGCCAGAGGTGGTGCAAGGGGATGTTTGGGTAGTGGGAGGAATTCAGTGGAGTCTCCTGGGAGCCAGAGGGCAGAGCTGTGTGGGAGTTTGGAAGCTCAGGATGTGGTGCTTAACATGTACCCCACCCACCACAGCTAGCTTTGCTCTTGAGTGATCTGCCTCTTTTCCTCCTCAAAAGTTCAAGCAACAGCAAGAAGCAATTAGTGACTTAAAAGGATGATGAGCTTGTTGACATTTTTTTTTTTTTTTTTACTCCAAAAGGGGCAAATAAAGTAGTGAGAAAATTTTACAGAGTATAATGGTCCCAAGAAGATCATGAGGGTGGTGGGGAGGACGTGAGCCTCTCTTGGCAACAAGAGGAAAAGGACTCCAAGGTTGCAAGATTGGCTTTTGTAGAGAAGAGTGCGAAGACAGGCTTTCAGTACATAGAATCAAAATGGAAGATACAGTATATGGGTCAGGAGAAAAGTTTGTAGCACAAGAGCCATGTCAGGGTTGGAATGTCCTCAGTCTGATTTGGTCCCAATATTCTGGCTCTGTCATCACTACCCTACCAAGTCCTGGAGTGGTATAGACCTTCCTGAAAGCCTTAGGATGTTGACACTAGGGACTCAAACTGGAAATGGTTTGCATTGGATAAGATGTGTCTAAGCTCTTTTGGTCCCCTTTTCTGCATGACATTGTGAATTGTTAGTCATGTTGGCATTTCTGGTTTAGCAAATGTACCATCTTATTTGTTACTATTTAAAAAACTTTATTAAAAGCTTTGCATATTGTTGTGACACCATCTCAGCATGAGAGTGAAAGGCTTGAATATATTACTTGTTAGGGCTATGCTGATCTTTTTCTCTATACCTCACTCTTGGAAACAACTTATTGCTGTGCTCCTCTATTTGAGACCCCATTAGTTTTCTTTATTGATTCTGGCACATGGCACATGGCCCTGCTGTCTAGCCTGGGCCTGCTGCCTCCATTCTTGAAGTCCCACACCCCCTTCTCCACTCTTGCTGCATGGGAAAAACAATTCTGTAGCTATGCCATGTACATGCACTTTCCTGTCCCTTTGCACATGGCCTTGCACTGGCTTGGGAAAATTCTATTACTTCTCTAAGGTCATGATCAGGCTTTATCTCTCTGGGCTTTTTTGGAATTCACCCAGGCAAGCACTTCCAGTCAGGACTTCCTCATGCTGCCTGTGTGCTTACCGTTTTGATAGCCGTTAGTCATAGCATCTTGAGAGGACTTATTTATGTGTCTGTGTTCCCATTGGAAAGACGGGGACTGGCTTCCATGCAGGTGTCTGCTCAGCACCAATCATCTTTCTTGGTTCAGAGGTAACATCCCATCACCCATTAGTGGTTGAATGCCAGATCAGTATCCTTAGAAACCTAGTCCAACCTTCTGCTTTTACTGATTCTCAGCACAGAGAGGGGAAGTCATTTGGCTAGCGTCACATTGCTGAGGGTAGCCTTGGAACCTTTTCCAGGACACTGCTGACAGGAGGCGAGTTGGCTTCTTTCTGCTGCATTCTCTCTGAACTTCATCCGTTCCTGGGACCTCAGCTACTACTTTCAGCAGTGACTCAGGGTCTTCCCTCCTACTCTAGCTGCCCGTAAGCTTTAATATATTGTTTCTAACTGAGTTATGCACAACACCTATGTCTCAGTTACCCCGTTGCATTGCTCCTTTCTCTATTTTGAGTGATCCAAATCTCACACTTAAACTTTGCTTTGGACTTCTCACGGACTCCCTGCCCTTGTTTTTCGTTTCTCTGAGTCTCATCTCACCTTCTCCCTGCCAGGTCTTATATTGGTACCGTAGGGCTACACTGGAGCCATCTGGCCTGAGTCGGCCTTCACAGTCTT